CATGAGGCACCCCCTACATCGGCCGCCCCCTCCTCCACCCCCGCCCACTAACCCCCCCTACCGCCTGTGTTCAGGGCCCCTACCTGTGCGCCACGCTGCCCTTCTTGATGTCGGAGATGATGAGGGGCTCCCCTCGCTTCCGGCTGGCCGCTGGGGAGAGAGGCCATGATGCCGACTTCTGTTGGCCTCAGCCTGGAGGGCGCTGAGGCCCGGGGTGGGGGCACAGCCTCAGAGCACACATTCAGCCCTCATTTTGGTGTCACTGCTCCCCGGCAGGGTTGACCCTGAGCCAACTGGCTCACTGCTCCGTGCCTCAGTTTTCCCGCTGCAAAGTGGGGGTGATGCCACGGACCTCATGGGGACATGCTGAGATTAAATAAACCACATAACGCAGGCACAAAACCCAGCGTGGCTCCCGGCACGCACTGGTGCTCAGTCGACCTCAGTCCGGTCCTCCTCCCGCCACCCGCCCCCAGCCAGCAGCGAGCGGCTTGAGAGGCCACCCGGGTGGCGTCTGTGTCCTCAGCACCCAGCCCAGGGCCAGCACCAGGGCTCCCGGGGTCGAGGGACACAGCCATGAGCAAAACAGGCAAGGAGAGCCAGGGCGGTCGCAGACTCCGCAGGACGTGGGAGTGCGCCATCTCCCAGGAGTGGAGGGAAGTGGGGGGGGGCTGTGTGGAAGGTGGGGAGCTGTCAACCAGGAGGGCAGGCGGGCCTGAGCAAAGGCCGAAGGTGGTCGGGGAGGAGGGTGGGGGGAGCAGGCAGCGGCTGGAGGGGCTGCGCCAGGGAGACAGGGGAGCAGGCCCCCGAGGGCCTTCCAGACGCCCGAAGGCTCCAGCTTGTGCCCAAGCAAGGTGGCAGCCCGGAGGCGTTCAGCTTCCCCTGCTCGTGCACGCTGCCGTTCCCTTGACCTTCTGCAGTCCTCGCAGGCATTTCTTTGACAAGCATGAATGGAGCACCTACTGTGTTCCAGACCTCTTCTGGGCTCCAGGCACACAGAGGTAGACAGAAAGCCAAACCTGACCCACCTGTTTGACACCTGACAAACCACTCTCACCTGATGGCGCCCCACTACCCCACTGAGAGACCCTCAGAGCCAGGAGACTCCACTGTGCAGCATGGGAAACCGAGGCAGCGAGCATGGGTCCGGCCCAAGGGCCGTCCTGCCCCCGGAGCCTCTGCAAGGTCGCCTCGGGCCACAGCATCACACCGTGAAAGGGAGTGCTGGTTTGGGCTGCAGCCACCCCTCCCGAGGGCATGTGGGGAGGGACGTGGTGCGGAGACTCACAGCTGATGGTGATGCCCAGCTCCACGCCACGCCGCTTGGGCAGCTTCACGTGGAAGGTGCCGCTGCTGGGGATGACGGACTCTGGCAGGGACAGACGGCAGGCTGTCGTGAGACAAGGGAGCCTCTGCCCCAAGCCCATTCTGGCCCAGCTGCGAGGGACCCCACAAAGCCACCACCCGACCCCCTCCTGCTTCCTCCTCCCGACAGATGAGGAAATCCGTGTACAGAGAGCTGACAGATTGCTCACAACAGCTGACCTGCTCCGGCTGGGGCAGAGCTGGGACTGGAGCCCAGACCTCATGTCTGCCAGCCGGGGTGCTGAACGGGCTTCCCACAGCCCAGTCCCACCCTGTGTGGAGTCGGCGTGGACTCCCTGAGCACCAACTACACGCAAGGCCTCAGCTGGGTGTATCCACAGGGTTTATCTCACCTAACCCAAACACCCCACACGTTGAAAGGCGTCCATCTGCTATCTTACAGACGGGGAAACTGAGGGCGGAGGGGACGTCCTGTCCAGAGTCACACAGTGTCTGAGCCACAGAGCAGACGCCTGGCGCCAGGCACCGCAGGAAGGGAGGAGGGGAGGGTCTCCGTGGGAGGAGGAAGTCCAGGCCGCTCTCACCCGCCACATCAAACTCCACTTCCAGCACCACCCGGTGGGCCAGCGCAGCATCCCGCAGCAGCTGGTTGGCCTCCTCCATGGTCCCGTCCTCAGTGGCGACGCCGTTGATGGACAAGACGCGATCCCCCACCTGTAGCAGGCCACACCTGCACCCCAGGAGTCCAGCAGAGAGAAGAGGCCTATGACAGCTCCGCTAGGAGACAGAACACCGCGCAGGGGTGCAGGGCCAGCCCACACCCCTCCCGGCCTGTCACGTGACTCAGCCCTGCCCTGGGAGTGACCTTGCTGGACCTCAGTTGCTCTGTCTGTCCAATGGGGATGATGCCATGGCCTTACAAAGACGGACATCTGAAGGACTCTGACTTGGAACAGACAGGGGCCCAAGTCCTGGGCATCTGTTTATGAGTCAACAAGGCAGCTTCTCTGAGCCTCAGTTTCCTCAACTGTAAAATGAGGCTGGTGACGGTGCTGATGGGATGGCGAAGTGAGACACACTCGTGAGGCAGGGGTGAGGTGGTGTGACTCGGTTTCCCCTCTGTCCCCGGGCCCCCTGATCTGAGAGTGGCAAGCCTGGGGGGGTGGGGGAGAAGCAGGCTCACCTCTCCGCCGGGCTGTCAGGCTCGATGAAACGCACCAGGGGTGGGGAGGACAGGGTCTCGGTGGCGAAGATGCCGCCCTGGAGCTGGAGGCCGAAGCCCCCAAGGGGGTCTCCGCAGAGCACCACCTCCGTGGTCTCCGTGTGCACAATCTGCCCGCCGGGCCCCACCGTGCTGGAGGCCAGTGACACTGTGGGACAGGAAGGTGTGGTACTCAAGCGGGCGCCCAGCCAGGCCCCTGCCAGAGCCTATCCTCAGACGGGCAAGTGGGCAGAGCTGACTGGATCTGAAACCTGGACTCACAGCTGCTCTGAGCTGTGGCTTCCTCATCTGTCCCGTGGGATTGTGGAAAACAGGGCAGTCTGTGATGCCACTCGGCAGCTTATGATGTCACTGGGCAGCTGATGATGCCACTCGGCAGTTTAGGATGGTCGTCACGTGCTCTAGTGTGTGCTATCATGTTCCTTTATGGTTTGGGGAGTAGCTCTCTTGAGATGAAATTTCCGTGCTGTAGCAGTCACGCCCTTAAGATGTGTAGCTCACTGGCCATAGTCACCGTTAGGCAGACGCCACCACAATCCATTTTAGAACATTTTCATCCCCTGGTCCCTTCAGCCGCTGCCCCAAGCTGTGTCCACCAGCCCTAGACAGCCCTTCATCTGTTTCTGTCTGCGTGGATTTGCCTGCGAGGGGCATTTTGCATAAGTGGAATCGTGTAAAACGTGGGCCTTGTGACTGGCTTCTCTCCCTCGGCATAACGACTGCGGAGTTCACCTATGGTGTAGCACGTGCCAGGGTGTCCCTCCTTTTTAAAGCTGGATATTCAGCGCCCCACTGCGTGTGCAGACCACATCTCGCTCCTCCATCCGTCTGACGAGAGACACGGGTGTTTCGGCTGCTGTGAACATTCGTGCGTGGGTTCGAGTGGACAGGATGTGTTTTCATTTCTCTTGAGGCTACACCTATGAGTGGAACTGCTGAGTTATGTGCTAATGCTACGTGTAAATGCTTGATATATCACATCAGTTAATAGATGCATTTTATTATGAATATGTTATTGTATTATTAATGGGGCAGATATGGATGTCATTTATTATTTATTAAATACAATTTATTGCATATTGCATTATGTTATTAGCTATACTATGTGATTGTGCCTTTATATATTATTTTATATTACACTTTGCAATATGTGCACTGTGTTATGTTGTTAGGTATATTATGTCATTATATTTATTATTTCTTTCACTATTATATCCCCAGTGATAAAAATGGTGGCTGCCACATAAGAGGTCAACAATTTTGTTGAATTAATTAATTATTATCAATAACAGTAATGACAGCACTTTATTAGTCACCCATCCTATGATGGGGACAGGTCGGGGGGTCTCAAAAGCCCCCAGCCTCCACATCCCCCCACAAATGAACAGCATTTCTGTGTCTTTTCACCTACGTACCCCCAACTTAGTGGCTGGCAAAGATATACTAAGGGTATATTTTATCTGGCGTCTGACTCCGAAATCTGTTTCGGTTTCCCCCTGGGTTGCTGGGAAGCTCAGAACCATGTTTAGCTCCTTTCAGGCACCAGGTGACCTGTACTCCACTCCTGTTTCACCTGGCTCAGTCCCGAGCAGCCCATCTTGACCTTCTGTCCTTCCTGGAGGCCTCCACAACTCTATGGCAGGAGGCTGAGAACACTTTCTAAATGAACACCTGAAAGGCTCTTCCCTAGAAAGGCTTCAACATGGCAAGCATTCTTGTGGCTTCTGCCACGCCCACATGCCGCCTGTGTTATCATTCACTACAATTTGTTTCCATGTTGATTTGCTTTCCTTAATACTTAACTGCCTTCATTTCAAAAGGGAAATATACATATAAAATAAACAGGAAGGTAAAACAGAAAATGATTACATTCTGGGTGACTAGAGTCTCAGGCCCATTTGTCTCTGTCTTAGGGAAAATTAACAAATGTCAGAGAAGTAGTTGAGACTTGGTAACACAACACCAAGACCTTATCCTTGAATGGAGCAGGACTGCATGAAATAGAGATGGAGTTACTGCGAAACCTTCCTACAAATCGGAAAAGGCATCTTCCTCAGGATATTTTGCCACTAAGTACTAGGAATTTTTCATAATAAAAATACAAGACTTGGCCGGGCTCGCTGGCTCAGCCTGTAATCCCAGCACTTTGGGAGGCCAAGGCGAGTGGACTGCCTGAGCCCGCGGGTTCGAGACCCACCCAGGCAACTTGGCCAGACCTCGTCTCTACAATAAATAAAAAATTAGCCGGGTGCGGTAGTGTGCGCCTGTAGTTCTGGCTACTTGGAAGGCTGAGGCGGAAGGATCGCCAGAGCCCAGCAGGGCGAGGCTGCAGTGGCCGGGAGCGTACCACTGCACTCCAGTCTGGGTGATGGAGTGAGACTCCAATTAAAAAAAAAAAAATACAAGACTAAAGGTGCACGTAGTAACTGGCACCCCTCAGCCATGCCTTTGTGCAGTGCACAACCTGTCCAACCATCCATTGGCAGCCCAGTCTTCCATTCATGTTATTAACATTCCCACACATACACCTGGGGCCCTGCCCCCAAACCTCACTTAGCCCCCACCCAGCCCTTTGGTAAACTTCACTGTCAGATGCACGGGCAGCCCAGAGGGGAGGGAAGAAACCAGGGCTTACGTGAGCTCTTGTGCTCTCTTCTCCGTGGTCTCCTACGCCCCGTTGTGGTCCGGGGGCTCATGGGCTGGGATCCCCGGGGAAGGGTGCTTGGATTGGTGCAGGAGAAGGCATGGCTCATGGTTGGTGAGGAAAAGGGCGTTGAGGACAAGGCTGAGGATGAGAATGCCGCCCTGTGAGCACAGCAGGGCCTCTCCCACTGCCCCACGCCCGGCCACGGGTAACACGGACACCTCCCCTTCACCTCAGTGGCTTGCTGTGTGGCCCCAGGCAAATCTCCTTTCCCCTCTGTGGGGTTCCCATAGACCCGGTGAGACCCAGCTGCCAGTGACGGGGCCCTCTTGTCACCAAGGTGCCGGGTGACCATGGGCAGGCCCCCGTCTCTCTTTTTTTTAGAGATGGGGTCTCGCTCTGTCACCCAGGTTGGAGAGCAGTGGCATGATCATGGCCCCCTGCAGCCTCAAACTCCTGCCTCAACCAATCCTCCCACCATGCCCAGCTAATTTTTTTTTTTTTTTTTTTGCAGAGAAGGGGATCTCGTTTATGTTGCCCAGACTGGTCTTGAACTCCTGGTCTCAAGCGATCCTCCTGCTGCAGCATCCCAAGTAGCTGGAACTATAGTCGTGCATCCCCACACCCGGCTCCCCAGGGTCCCTGAGCCTCAGTCTCCTCTTCCCTAGGAAAACTGGACGGGCACATTACATCGGCTTGGGTCCTGGCCAGCAGGTGTGGCCCAGGTGGGCGTCCTGCAGTGGCCGGGCCGAGGGCTGTGGCAGGAGGGCATGCAGGGGTCCCAGCGGTGTGGCTGCTCACTCCTCTGCACTTTCACTGTAGCCAGGAAGAAAGAGGAGAGGGTGTGATGGCACCACGCAGGGGCGGAGGAGCTGGGGAAGCAGCACCAGGAGCCTGAGCTGCTCCGGGCTGGGTGAGGCAGCACACCTGCTCCCGTGCCCCAGACGCCTACCATGTGCGGGGCACAGCGCACAGGGTGCCAGTCTGGGGGGAGGGCCGGGGGCCGGGCGGGCCTGGCCAGGCCGTGGCTGAGAGGTGAGGAGCCGGGTTTGAACTCGGCACAGACAGGCTCAGGAGCACAGAGACTCACGCCCGGAGGCAGCCTGCATGGCTTCTCCAGGAAGAACGGGCAAGCAAGGTGGTGCTGGGGACGACGTCTGGCAGCCCTCGGCGGTGTTCCTGTCCCCGGGCCCTCGGCAGCCTCCACCCCAGGGCCCCAGCCGGCTTGGTCCAGTGGTCCTGAGATCGGAGGCTGCTCCCGCTGCAGCCTCCCCAGGCCTTCCCCTGACAGCCTCCTGGCATGCCCTTTCCAACACATTCCCAGGGGACCCGTGCCCCGGCCTGACCCTGCAAACTGGCCACCACTCGGTGCCTCTTCCTGGACTGCCCCGGGCCCTGTCCTGGCTCTTCCTGGGGCTCCGGAACTCTGCCCAGTCCCACGTGGCCCCGGATGGACAGACGAGGGCCCTGCGACCTCGGTGCACTGACCCTGCCTCTTGAGGGGCATCCCCGCCCCACTTGGGGGCTGGCCGACTCGGGAGCCAGCTAACCCGGGACAAACCCCAGCTCTCTCCTCAAGCCGCTGGGGGATGTGGACACATTGCTTGGCCTCTCTGGGCCTCATGGTTACAGTCCATAAAATGGGTCCAAGATGGAGGCTGCCTCCTAGGGCAGTGGGGAGGATCAGCACCAGTCCGTCTGTGGCGGGCTGGAGGCTCGGTCAGAGAGAGCCAGGGACAGAGCAGACATGCCCCTCGCGGTGTCCCTCAGCCTCCTTGGCAACGTGGGGGGAGGACCCAAGGGGAGGCGGAGATGGACGCTGGCCTGGGCAGATGCTCACCATGGGCAGAGACCGAGCCCCAAGGCCTTGTCTGACCTCTCGGTGTGGGCCTCCTAGGACACCGGCTGGGACCACAGTGGACTGGCCGAGTCCCCACTCCCACATCTATCCGATGTGGGGATCTGGCCTAGGAAGGTCAGGCTCGCCCTCCGCTCTTCCCCAGGTGGGGGTGACAGCCCTGACCTCCATCCCCTGGGCCTCCCCTCTGTGCAGAGGAGGTGACTGTGGCTCGCGGAGGCAAAGGCCCTTGTCCAGCTGTTGGGGGCAAGGTTGGGGCTTGGACCAAGGTCCAGGCTTGGACCAAGGTCCAGGCTGCTGGAGGCGCCTTCCTGCCTCCCCAGGACCAACCTCTCCCTGCTCCCCGCCCCAGCTCTGCCTTCTGGACCCCCAGACCACCTGCTCCCTCTGCAGGGGGGATCCAGGATCCCAGCTCTGAGTAGCACAAAGCACAGAAAGACCACTGCTTCCCTCACGCTAGCACTTATACTTCTATTATTGAAACCAGTGATGAAACCAGCTTTGGGACATCCGTTCCAGCAGACTGGCAGGTCGAGCCCCCAGGCTGTGTCTCTGCTCCACCTCTCCACCCTCAGCTGTTGCCCTTGACAGTCCATGCTTCCCTGCGCGAACAGACGTGTGCTCCAGGAAATTCAGCCTGGTCCTGCCAGCCTGCCAAGGGCATCGGTTCTGGGCCACCTGGCCTCCCTCAGGCATCCCCTCCCCGTCAGACCCAGGCTGGACTCCGTGGTCTACCGAGGGGACCCACCTGCCTCCGAGGGCCTCGGTGGCCACTGGCTCTGGGGCACAGGCAGGATCTCCAGCCGCACCTTCTCTGACACGCTGGCCAGGAGCTGGGTGGCCTCCAGCAGGGAGCAGTGCTCTGTGCTCGTGCCGTCGATGGACAGAATATGGTCTCCAGCGTGCAGGGCCCCGCTCCTGGCCAGGCAGGGGAGCGAAGAGGGAGGCTGGTCCAGGCCAGACAGAGCCCGGCCGCCTCCCCCCGGCACTCTGCCCTGGGCTGGCAGCAGCTGGCAGGTACCTCACCTGTCCACCACACTGGCGGGCTTGATGCGGTCAATGGTGATGACCGGTTTGTTCCGGTGGGAGGCGGTGGTCAGCGAGATGCCCAGGGCTGACCCTGGCGTCTTGACAATCTCCACCATCAGGGGTCCCGAGGCATTGGCCACCGTGTCTGGAAAAACACCTGTTTAAGGGGCAAGCTTGTCTTCATTTCGCCCAAGCTGCTGGGAGGGACTGTTACGCCCATTTGCAGGACAAGAAGACTGCGGTGCAGACAGGCAAAGGCCTTCTCCAGGCCATGCTGCCACTGAGCAGCAGAGGCAGGGCAGGGGCTCAGGTCCTAGGCCTCACACGTTTGCTCGCATTGATTGACAGCCTGCTGTAGGCCAACATTAAGCCAGAGGGTCCACGGCAATCTGCCCCATCTCAGAAAATGGCACCTCCAGCAACCCACCCAGGGTTTCCAAAAGAAATCCCCGGCAGCACCCTCAGCTCCTCCGCCCCGATCCCATCCCCATGTGGTGGATCCCACAAGTCCAGTCCTTTCGCCGCTCCCCCCTGCAACCGGCCTGGTCCAGCCATGTGGCTCTCGCTTGGATGGCCCAGCCACCTCCTGCAACCTCCCGGCCTCTACCCCCACTCTCTTCCAACCTCACTACCACTTGCCACCCCAGCCACCAGGCTCTCCACTGTCATGCCAGCCAGGTTCCCGCCCCAGGGCCTTTGCACGCATGCTCTCTCCACCAGGAATTCTTCTCCTGGCTGTCCACGCCTCACACATCCCCGCCCGACCCCGGCTAGGAGCCCCCTCAGCCAGACCCCCCTCTGCCTTGTCTCTCCATGGCCCTTGCTGCCATCCGACACCAACTCTGCTCACCACCCTTCTCTCATCACTAAAACGTCAGCTCCGTGAGAGCAGAGACTTCGCCCCTCCTGCTCTCTCACCCCAAATGCCTGGCACACACAATGTCTGGCCCATGAAGCCTCAGAGAGGCTGAGCAGCAGGTCGGAGGCCTCACAGCCTTGGCAGTGGTGAAGAGCCACCCCGCTGCCTCTGCCCCATCCCAGGCCTCCCCTCGGGCCGCTCACCGGGGGTGGCCACGTCATATTCCACCTGGAAGAGCGCCTCATGGCTGCACTGCCGCAGCGTGGCTAGGGCGGTGGCATGGCTGGCCCCGTGCAGCAGGATCCCATCAACGCTCAGCAGCCGGTCGCCCACCTTCAAGGAGCCCTCCCTGGGAGGAAGGGCCCTGTCAGCAAGCCTGGCCCCGGTGCGGGGCACAGCCAGCTAATGGGGCGCAGAGAGTGGGCTGTGTGGATGAGGAGGAAGTGGAGGGGGTGAAGAAGAAAGGACTGGGTGGACCAGAGAGGGGGTGTGAGCCAGTGAAGGAAGGGGTGACCTGGGAGGGAGGGAGTGGTGGGGAGGGAGAAAGCGAGTGACTCGGGAGGGAGGGACCCTGGGGGTGAGGGAGTGACCCAAAAGTGAAGGAGTGAGTGACCCCAGGCATGAAGGAATGAGTGACCCAAGGAGTGAAGGAGTGTGTGACCCCAGGAGTCAGGGAGTGGACCTGGGAGTAAAGGGGTGAGTGACCCTGGGACTGAGTCTCTGAGTGGCCCCAGGGGTGAAGGAGTGACGACTTTGGGTCTAAGTCTCTGAGTGACCCCAAAACTAAGTCTCTGAGTGACCCCAGAGGTGAAGGAGCGAGTGACCGTGGGACTAAGTCTCTCAGTGACCCCAGGGGTGAAGGAGAGAGTGACTCCAGTACTAATCTCTGAGTGACCCCAGGGGTGAGGGAGTGAGTGACCCCGGGGTGAAGGAGCGAGGAACCTCAGAACTAAGTCTCAGAGTGACCCGAGGTGCAAAGGAGCAAGTGACCGGGGACTAAGTCTGAGTGACGCAGTGGATTTGCCGCGGGCCCTGACCCTAGAATGTCTGTATGGGGACCCCTCAAGTACCCACTCACCCTCTGCCCTAGCGACAGGGAGAATACCAGGGCCCAGAGAGAGTCCAGCCCTGCCCAGGCCACAGAATCAGGGTGGGGCGGACCCCAGCCTGGTTTCTCAGCAGTGATTCTGGCCTGGTGACACATCGGCCTGGGAACAAGTTCAGCAGGCCCCAGGGGAGCAACCTCGGTTTGGGTCAAATTCCCACCTGGGAGCGCCTCCCCCAACAGGGGGCCAAGGCTATTCTGGGAGGTTCTATCAATAGCCCATGCCTCACCCCAGGGAAGGATTTAGAGTTCTGACCAGGCCTCCAGGCTTCTCTTAAATGGCCAGGAATCTCAGCCAGGGCAGCCGAGGGCAGGGCTGGGCACTGGACATGCTCCTTCCCCCACGGTCGCTCCTCCCAGCTGCTCTAGCGGGGCCAGGCTGGGCAGCCGGGACCGGGAGGCTGAGTCACAGATGGCCACGGCAGTGGACATCACAGTGCCCCCAGCTCTCTCGGGGCCACCATTAGGGGCTGCCATATTGGGTCCATTCCACAGATGGGAAAACCCGAGGACCAGGGAAAGGAAGAACAACTCAAGGCTGGCTTTCCCCATTCCCCCACCCCTAAGATGACAGGCTGTGGAAGAGAGAGCTGCGGAGTCTCCATGGGGGACTCGCCCAGCTCCACCCACCGTGGGCCTCTGTCTGTCCACCTGGGGAACAGGCGTGGTGCCCCTGCTCTGCCTTCTCACAGGGGAGCGTGGCAAGTCAGCGCCATGTGGTTTCTTCCGGCTCAGGCTCACCTGTCGGCTGGGCCACCAGGCCGCACACAGGTTAGGACAAGCGGGCGGGACTTGTGCCCATCTTCATGGGCCCCACCTGGACAGAATTCAGCAAGAGGCAGGACTCACTAGCCCACCCTCCCTGATATCCAGCCTCCACAGCTCCCTCAGCAAGACTGGCCTGTGGGCCCTGCCCTTGCTATGCACGGACCCTGTTATGAGACACTGACAAGCAGTCCCCCTGGAGACAGGGCAAGGAGTAGCGAACACAGCCCCAGTTCTCCCCCCGCGGAATGGCTTGCTTCCATTCCTGTGGTCTCATCTTATTTCCCTTTCGTCCTGGTTGCTAGGAAGCTCCAAGCTCTGTTCTCAGTCTCAGTAGCAGCTTTTACCACCTTTCTCTGGTCCGTCTCCCTCCTCTCCCTCTCCCAGCCATGCCTACTTCACTGCTCTCTTTAACACTGATCTTAATGGCCCTGGACTCTTTAAAGTCCGAAGACTTGACTTTATGTATGAAACTTCCATTCAAAGCAGACAAAACACACATGGAATTAGCACCGGCCTCCTGACCCCTCAGTACAAGGGCGAACCGTTCACTGACCTCGGAGGACAAAGCCAAAGCTGTTGCCCTCCTTGTAGAGGGAGACGTCCACCGTCTTTGAAATGATCCTCGGGTTGTTCTCGGGAGCTGGGGACAAAGGAGGACCCCTTTGAGTCCCTCCGTCGCTTCTCAAGCCAGCAGATGTCCTCCGTCCTCTGGAGCTTGCTCCAGGAGAGCCAGGCGATCAGCCACAGAGAGTCCCGGGACAGCGGCCCCTCCCCATCTTACAGGTAGAACAAGTGAGGCTGAGACGACCCTCTTCCCTAACGCCCACTCGGTCCACCCCTCCAAGAGGGGAGTGCCGCCCCCCACGCTCAGCTTCGATGGCAGAACTCGGGCTTGAGTCCCGGTGGCAGCTCAGGCCGGGATCCCAGCCCCTCACTCGAATTCCAAGACTTAGGGCCAGCTTTGAACAGTCAGAGCTAGGTGGAGCCCTCGAGCACTGTGCTCGGTGCAGGGCAGCGGGGGCTGGCGGGGGACAGGGACCAACCTCCTCAGTGAACGTTCCCGAGCCCCTGGCGAAGAAGAGTCCAGACACCGAGCGTGCGCCACTCCAAGAGCTGCAGCATTCCCCCCACCCCCTGGTGATCCCCAGGGAT